CGGCCCTGCAACCCCGAGTGCAGGTGACAGGCGGGTGCGGCACTGCGGGCAGGGGAAGGGACGGGCACGCCCGCTTTGGAAGCAGCGCAGGCCGGGCGCGGTGGCTCACGCCTGTAATCCTAGCACTTTGGGAGGCCGAGGCGGGAGGATCACTGGAGCCCAGGAGTTCGAGGCTGCAGGAGCTATGATGACACCCCTGCAGCCTGGGTGACAGAGCAAGACCCTGTCTCTTATATTAACAAAAAAAGAAGAAGAAAAGAAAAGTCTCCTGCCTCTCGGCAGCTCCTGCGCGCGGCCTTGGTAAAGGCGCCCGGCCACAGGCCACTGCGAGGACCGATGAGCCAGGAAGCGAGCACTGGCCGCGCCAAGCCCGCAAGCACAGGCGGTCGACAGTCGCGGGCCCCGAGCTGTTCCCTCCGCCTGCCTCGGCCTTCCCCAGCCCTGTGGCTGCCTGTGTCCCTTCAGCCCCGGCTGTCCCGTGGGAAGCCCTCCCGACCCGCTCCCGGGCCTCCCTTCCCGGCTCCCACTGAACCAAGACCTGGCCCGGCTGCGCGTCTCCCCGAGAGCATGGACCCCAAGGCAGGGCCACGCCCGTTCGTGCCCCGTCCCGGGCTCACCGGGATACGACACACACTTGACGGATGAACTGACACATTCGCTCCTGAGCTCACGAGACCCCCGGGCCTCAGTGTCCCCACAGGGCCAGGGAGGCCTGTGTGCGTCCCACGGCGCCCTGGAACACAGGAGGAGTCCGGGAGAGGACACAGTGGCCTCCACCCTGGAGGACCCCTCGCTGTGTGGCCCTGGGCCAGCCACATGCCCCCGCCAGGCCTCCACTTGCCCTTCTGTAAAAGGGGCACTTGTAGCCCTGCGCTGGGGCTGTCGAGGCTGCCGGCTGGGATGAAGCCATCCTCCTCCCGCCCTGCAGGACACCCAGTGACGAGCACCGCTACCGACACCCAGGGCTCCCTGGGCCAGGCCTTCGTCCCAGTGGGCCCCGCAGCCCGCACGACACCCCCACTAGACAGAGGGACCAGAGAGGCTGAGTCACTTGCCCAAAGTCACACAGCTAACAGGTGGCAGCACCCCAATTTGAACCACCCATGCTGTGGCTCTGTGGCAGGGACCCAGCTTCCCAGGCCCCCAGGCCCGGGGGCAGGCGGCAGCCGGAGCTGCTCAGGGTTAATTCCCTGTCGCCACGGAAGCAGATGCGAGCAATCAGCTCACACCAGTTGGAGATGCAGTGACACCTGCCCAGCAAACGAGCCGGGTCTCGCCTCCCGCCACCTGCTCCCCCAGCCCCAGTCGGGGCCTGAGAGACCACGGCTGCCCCGGCGCGGCCGGCACGTGGGGCGGGAAGGGGCCGCTCAGCCCTCGGCGTTAAGAGCTGTAAATGACGTCAGCCCCACGCAGAGCCTGGCACGTAACAGGGGCTCGGATGTGTGGCTCCTCCTCCACCACGGAAACCCCACAATGCTTCTGGCCCCCGTTCAAATGCCCCCTCCAACAGGGAGCCCTCCCGGGTCTCACCAGGCCCTCCTGGAGCAGGGTCGCAGGGCCCCCGAAGCCGTCTCCTGGGTGCGGTCCCACTCCGGGCCGTGTGCGTGCGCCCGGCTGGTGGGGGTCAAGGAGAAAGCGCCGCTTGTACTCGGGCCCCGGGGGCAACTGGGAACGGGGGAGTCCAGAGCTGCTCACGCTGGAAGCCACAGGAGCCAAAGCAGGTCGAACTGGTGGCGTGGCCAACAGCCACCTCGCCGGGCCTCGGGCCCTCCTCGGTGCAGAGGGCCACAGGGCTGGGCCCACCCGGCCTCAGCCCCCCGCGCCTGGCGAGCCGGTTGGCAGGGGGCTCTTCAGAGCCCAGCGTCGAGGCGCACAAGGCTGCTCTGGGGTGGGGCAGGACCCCTAGAGACGCCTGCCAGCCCCATCCCCACCGTCCTCCACCCGCACTGGGCTCCAGCAAGGCCGCGCGGGAGGGCGGGCTCTCGGCAGGTAGCGAGGACCACGTGTCCATCCTGGCACCGGGCTCAGCTGAACCCTCATGGCACCTTTACAGCCACCCTCTGGAGGAGGCACACTGTCACCCCCACTTTGCAGAGGAGGAAACTGAGGCACAAGGAGGTTAAGTGACTCACCCAGGGTCTCCCTGCCAGTAAACTCCCGGGCACACTCCCGGACTCCTCCTGTGTGCCAGGGTGCCGTAGGACGCACACAGGCCTCCCTGGCCCTGTGGGGACACTGAGGCCCGGGGGTCTCGTGAGCTCAGGAGCGAATGTGTCAGTTCATCCGTCAAGTGTGTGTCGTATCCCGGTGAGCCCGGGACGGGGCACGAACGGGCGCGGCCCTGCCTTGGGGTCCACGCTCTCGGGGAGACGCGCAGCCAGGCCAGGTCTTGGTTCAGCGGGAGCCAGGAAGGGAGGCCCGGGAGCCGGTCGGGAGGGCTTCCCACGGGACAGCCGGGGCTGAAGGGACACAGGCAGCCACAGGGCTGGGGAAGGCCGAGGCAGGCGGAGGGAACAGCCCCGGGGCCCGGGGCCTGCCAGTAAAAGGTGAGGCCAAGTTTGAGCGCAGTTTGGTTCCCAAGCCATGCTCTTGACCTCTACAAAATACAACTTTAAAAAAAAGAAGCGTGGGGGAGGGGCGAGACCACTGGGCAAGGAGATTCCGCCCAGACTGCTGGGCTCCCCGCTGCCCTCTACACCTGCTCTTCCACCCCCCCCTTCCTGCAC